CTACTTTGGAAAAATCAGCCATTGAAAACCCTATGTCTGCTCACACTCTTGAATGAGTTTACTTGGATGTAGAATTCTAGTATACAGCCATTATTTCCCCCTCAGAACTTTGATTTATAACTCCATTGTCTTGTAACATTTATTGTAGCTGATGACTGTTCTTAATGTGCTTCTCATTCCATCCTAAGTAATTTATTTTCTTGCTCTGAGAAATTTTTAAGGTTTTTCTCTTTACTCTTGATCTACAATTTTTAGGTGTGGATTTGTAAAAAATGCTTCTCACTTGGTTCTATGTGCTGTTTTAAATGATAGCCATCTGTTGCTTCTATTCTGAAAATTTTTTCAGCCCTTATTGCTCTGAATATCATTCCTCTCCCCCTATTCTCTTCATTATCTGTATTTATATACCTTAACTTCTCTCATATTTTCAATCTGTGTGTCTCTGCTGATTCTGGTTGATCATCTTCATTACATCATCAACTGTTTCCAGTCTACTCTCTCTAATTTTAAATAATTTTATTGTCCACAATTTTCAGTTCCAAGTTATGTATATTGCAGGGGGGAGTACCTAACCTAGTTTCAAAATTTCCTGTTTTTGTGTTTATTTTCGTTTCTCTGAGGACTTTAAGCATACTTAAAAATATAAAGGAATCTAAAAAATGGACTCTTTCTTTATTCCCAGGTTTTAAACCCTCTTTCTTGGGTTTGCCTGTTTGTCATGCCATATAGCTCATTGTCTTTACACTTGAATGAAAGTTTGGCTGGTTATAAAAATTTTTAACACATTCATTAGGTAGGACTTTGTAAGCATCACTGTTCTCGTCAGATGCTGATGTGGAGAAGATTAAAGCTAGCATTTTTTTCCCTTTATAAATGGCTTCATGGTTTTGCCTGGCTGACTAGACAATTTATATCTTCTATTATTATTAAGATATATCTTGGTATTGATTATTCTGTGCCAATTTTCCTTGGAACACAGTATGCCCCTTCAATCAGTATACAAATTCAAATGTGTGTCTTAGGAAAGCAGTCAGATTTTCCAGAATTTTATTAAACATTTCATTTCAGCTTATCATTTTCACACTAATCCTTTATGAATTTCCATTTCCTTCTTGTTGTTCTTCCTTATGCTACTTTTCTTTGCTTTTATTTCTGTAGTTTTTCTACTTCTTCCCTGAGATGATCTAGTTTAATTTCCTTTCTTTTACTTGATCTCTTCTATTTCCAAGCCATGTTCATACAGGCAGTCCTTTTACTTAAGTTTTAACTTGTTGAAAATTATTTGGCTGCAGTGTTTTTCCTCTTTGTGGCAACATATTGAGGTTATTTTTCTATCGTTTTTCCTGTTCTTGGCCTTTTTCCTTTGTATTATCGCTGTGTATAACATATGCTTTTTTTTTTTTTTTTTTAAATCTTCAAATAGATTTTTCCTAGAACAGCTATTTGCAAGAATTTAAAATGTGCCAGGGCCACGTTCTAAGCGAGCAGGAATTTTCCTTGTGGTGACCCAAGTTTGAATGTGTACATTTTTTATAGCCTTTCCTTCTTCCCCATCCAGCGTCAGCCAGATATCTCAGGCGTTTCCTGAGTGGTGGTTTTTCAGTGATTAAACCCTGCTTCCTTTTCTTCTTTGAACCAAATCAAGTCCCAGAAAGCATTACTGCTAGCCCAAGTGCTCTCACTTGGAGAATTACTTTGCCAGCTTTCATGCAGAGGTATAGTTGGGGCTCTCCTCTCTGTGCTTCATGCAGTATTCCTGGTCCCATTCTCCACTGCTTTTAGCACCTTTTAACCCTACATTTGAAGGTTTGACATATCTCCTAATTTTATCAAAATTATTCATTTCTCCTTAGCCTCCATGAACAAGCTTCCTCATAGGTAAACTGCAGATACTTCCTACCTTGGAAGTTTGTGAGGATTAAATGAGAGAACATGCATATAAACACTAGTGTTTCTCAAACCACAGGCATGCAATGGATGGTAGATTGTTGTTTTCCTTAATCACCTTTACTTTTCCCCTTATAAGGAGCCCTGGTGACGCAGTAGTTAAGAGGTTGGCTGCAAACCCAAAGGTTGGTGGTTTAAACCCATGAGCCGCTCCATGGGAGAAAGATGTGGGTCTGCTTCTATAAAGATTTAAGCCTTGGAAACCCTATGAAGCAGTTCCACTCTGTCCTATAGGGTGGCTGAGTCAGAATCGACAGCAATGGATTTGGTTTGGGGTTCCCCCTTATAGATGATTATTGCATGTGGGAAAACTATTGTCATATGTTCTACTACTTCTGTCCGTACTGTTCCCTCTGGTTACTACTACTTCTGGCAACTCTGGTCTTGTAACCATGCTCACAGCCCTTCCCTCCTGACTTTAGACATGGTATTCCTTCCTGGGTTCCCACTACACATATACTACCTCTATGTAGGTGCCTGTCAGACTGATTCAACTTTGTAGTCACCATATTTCACTAGAAGGATCTAAATAGTTCTTGAATAAATGAAGACTAACTTTCCATACTTTCTAGTGTTTCTTGCCATTTGTGGTAATAGCTTTAAGATATACAGGTATAAAAATCTCAAAAAAAAAAAAAAAAAACCCAGAAAACTAGCCCTTTAAAGGAACAGTGTCCTACAAATCATCAGGTAACAATTTTACTGGTTATCAGTGATGTATTTCTCCACCTCCTCCCCCTTTCCCCAGAGTTGATGTAATCTTATTGGAAAATTATGTCTTCCTACCTTCTATTAATCAGAAGCCCCGACGGCACAGTGGTTAAGCACTTGGCTGCTAACTAAAAGGTGGGCAGTTCAAGCTCAACAGCCGTTGTACAAGAGAAAGATGTGGCAGTCTGCTTCTATAAAGATTACAGCCTAGAAAACCATATGGGGCAGTTCTACTCTGTCCTATAGTGTTGCTATGAGTCAGAATTGACCACAGCAATGGGTTTGGTTTGGTTTTTCTATTGACCAGGTTTAATGACCTCCTTTTACGATGCCGAGAACTGGATACTTGGACACAAGACCTTGTCCTTCCAGCCGTGGTGTGGCTCTCCGGGTTCTTCAACCCACAATCCTTCTTAACAGGTAAGGGCTGAGGAAGGGCAGACCCTGGTGCTGGCAGACCACACCTCTGGCACAAGTTCTGCCCAGCTTTACGTGATTGCTTCTCCACTCCCTGCTCACCAACTGTGCGACGGCCATTACAGAAAAGGGATTAGGAACAACACTGGCAACTATGGGAGTTACAATGTCAGGTGAAAAAGTGGCAGCACCAGGAAAGGAGGCCCCAGCAGCACAGTGGGGTAGGGTAGTGTGGGACGTGGCTCACTCTAGTACAGAGGTGAGTAAAGTTTATGTAAAGGGCCAGATAGTAAATAATTTAGCATTACGGGCCACACTGTCATTGTTCCAACTACTCCACTCTGTATCACAAAAGCAGCCATAGACACTAAGCAAACAAATGGGCATGGCAGCATTCCAGTAAAACTTTACAGAAACGGAGAGGTTGGCCCATGGGTTATAGTCTGCCAACCCTTGTCCTAGTGTAGCATATGTAAATCCCCAAGAACCTAAAATGTCCTGTGGAAAAGCCCTCCTCAGCTTATTGATGGCTCCCGGGAATCTATTTTTTTTTTTTTTAAATCTTACTCAATTCTTGTTCCTTTCCTCCCAAAGCAATCATGCAGACCACGGCCCGAAAAAATGAATGGCCACTGGATAAAACATGCTTGACTGTTGATGTTACCAAAAAGACTAAGGAAGATTACGGCCATCCTCCAAGGGAAGGCGCGTACCTTCATGGGCTCCTAATGGAAGGTAAGGCACCCCAAGGAGAGCAGGGGTGGTTTATCAAGGATGTTTATGAATCAGGCTTAAACTGGTGTTTCCCCTTTGCTTATCTGCAGTTTCTTGGTCTCCACTCACTCATACAGTGACCTTACGCCAGAGGTTACTTATCTAATTTCTGCCTCTTTCTAACAATTTAAATGCCAGTAAGTATGTCCAGGATGAACCAAATTTTGATGCATTTGGGGCAGTGGCTGTCACTTAAATTTGCACATAAATTTGGTGTTAATGCCACAGGATAATTTAACACTTAAATGTAGAATTTAATTATTTTGCTTTTCAATATACTCAAATTTTTTTTTTTGCTTTGTACAAACAGTAAATTCACTTTAGGCAATCTAGCGCTTTACTACAAGATTTCTACAAGCTCTTAAGATGCCATTATGAACCTCTAAGACGGGACTAGGGTAGGCAGAATTTTCCGAATTTATTTCACCACAGGGTATTATTTATTCTGCAGGATACTTCCTAGTTTCAGAAATGCTATGCCAGCCCTTACGAAGACGCTCCCTTTTTCCACTTTAAAGCAAGTGCCACAAAAGTTCAAATGTTTAAAGCCTGGGCAGGGGAAATAAATAAGTGACTTCAACTTGGTGTAAGAAAATAAAAAGAGTGGTCAGGAGGGAATGTGCGTGCTCTGGTACTGTCTAGTCAAAATTCTATTTTTTAAATTGTTAATTCAACTGTTGTTAAGACATGCTTCCAATTTATAAATGGCCTCTGAGCACAGCTGTCAGCCTCCCTCATTTCTCAGACACAGGCCAGTTCAGGAAAGACTGCCAACAAACAATAACGTGACAAAACTGGAACATTTATTGCCTGAAACAATTAGATCATATCAGCATACCATACAGTTACAGTTGCAACCCCGGTGTTTGTTTTGCTGTAGGTGCTAGGTGGGACGTGCAGTCAGGAACCATTGCCGAAGCCCGCCTCAAGGAGCTGACATCCGTGATGCCGGTCATCTTTGCAAAAGCCATACCCGTGGACAGACAAGAAACCAAACATACCTATGAGTGCCCTGTGTACAAAACCAAAACAAGGGGCCCCAACTACGTCTGGACCTTCAGGTTGAAGAAGAAAGAGAAGACTGCAAAATGGGTTCTGGCAGGTGTGGCTCTGCTGCTTGAAGCGTAAGTAAGTGGTCTTCACGCTGGGACTGTCCTCTGCCAGAGTGCACGGAGGGGCTTCACCGTGCACTGTTCACCTGCACATTAGTCTACTGAACATCAACCATCCCAGCTTATGTACTTTTTTAGTAACTTACACGTGCACTAATTTTTTTAAACATCATCCTTAAAGGGTAGAAAAAAAGAGAAAGGAGAAAACGTCGAAAAATACTGGAAACCTATTCAGAAGCTATGTTCATCCCAAGTGCCCCTCAACAAAATACAGGGTCTCTTCAGGGTTCCACTGAACACGCACACAGCCTCAAAAAGCAATGTGGCTGGAAGGCCCCATCATTAGTCATTAAGTGGGACTTTAGTGCTTGTAGAGATAGTGAATAGCAAAATCTTTAAATTAAAAATTAGCCCTTAGATTCTTTTCAAGCATAGCAGCAGCTGGCCCCAGGACAAAGACAAGTCTTGGATGAAGAGGTGGATGCTCCTGCTGGCCAGCAGCGCTCTGAGCTTCCAGTGTCTATAGCATAATGATACACTTTTGTTCATTCAAGTTTTAATAAAAAAAACTCTAGCACTCTAGAGTTCTGTGGTTAATTGCACTTTGTAATTTAGGGGAAAGTTCTTCAGTATAAATTTCCAGTGGCCCACAGCAGAGTGGTTCAAGACTATGATCACTATTATATAAGATAAACTAAAGAGTATATAATCCCTGTAAAAAAGTGGGTCTAGAGTTAGACTGGGAAGTAAAAGATCAAGGCAACATAGACAGTTAAATGAGAGCTGCTTACACAATGTATTCTCTGTAACTTACCCGGATTTTCACTCCACCCCATTTCAACTGTGCATTTTTCATAGGTAAATACTTTTTAACAATGCAATATACAAACAGGTATGCATATACATGTCTATAGACATGTATATAGATTCCTCTGCTTAGCTCTTTTCCTGAGAAATCTTTTGAAACACATGCTCTACAAAGAATTTCCGTATAAAAACCCAACCATAGGACTTCTTAGGCACAAGTGGCAGGATGAGTCTTTCTGGAGTAATCTATGACTGGGTTCCTCTTTCCTTTTAATTGTCTTCTACCAGCTGCTTTTGTAAGCTGAGAAACAGAAGCAGATGAACAATGTTGTCAGACAGAGGCAAATACAAAGCAGCATTCTAAGCTAGAGATACAACTCCCAAAGTATAAAAGCCAGAACTGAGGTCTTCTGATGCTCGTCAGTCCCAACTCCTTAATGCAGTATACACCCTGCAGGCCTCATGGGGACCCACCCCACTACCATAGTCCAAAACCATACTTTACAGTTTATTATGTAAGTTTAAAACTTGTATGCCACTATTCTCTCTCCTTGTCCCTAGGTTGAGATAACCCATGTCCTGAGTGCATATGAGAGTCCCTGAGTAGTGGAAACAGTTAATACACTCTGCTAAGCGAAAAGTAGGCAGTTCAAGTCCACCCAGGTGCACTGGAAGAAAGGCCTGGCAAGTCCACAAATCAGCCAGTGAAAAACCCCGTGAGGCATAGTTCTCTTTGACACACGTGGGGTCTCCAGGAGTCGATGACAACTGGCTGGGTTTATTTTGTTTGAATGCACATTGCCTGAACCTTTCCACTCTGCTCACTAGGGCTGTGGATGCCTTTGCGCTTCAGTCTTTGCAGCTGCCTTTCAACCTTCCTTGTATAATTCCTCCCACTTCTGTTTCACACCATAAGGGGAAAATTTTGGTAGCAGACAACTGATAATTCTAGCCAAGGAAGAAAGTTCCTAGTAGGAGAAGTATCAACACTGAGTGTTTCCAATGAAAATGGACATGGAATGGATGGCATTCGAGGTGGTTTCTATAAATCAGCCATGAAACAAGGCAACAGCCACCTGCCTGGATGGTCTCCCATGCCGGACCCTGAGGTTACAACCTCCAGGCAAGACTTACTTACCTCTCCAGATATTCCTTAACATTATTGTAACCGTAAAACTTGGCCAAATGAATGAGGATCCCTGTGGCACAGCGACCATCACGCTTCCGACAGTAGCTGCAATTGCAGATCCCACGGCAAGGAGGACACATCCAATCCTAAGAAAGACATGATGGTAGAAATGTCCCCACTACGGTACAAGCCCTGGCAAAGGTGAGGTTCTCATCCAGCCTGATTCAGCTGGCCTCTCCTCCAATTTCAAATCAATGCTATCTTTTAGCATATGTCACAGAGTGAAGCCTGGAGAAAATTCACAAGCACTCCGCACCATGTATAAAAAGCATTCTCTAGTGCTTTGCCGTCATTTCACAGATTTCACAAAGGCTGATCCCCCCACCCCGATGTCACACATGGAAAAACACAAACACACTGGTTTCAGGCAGGGCTAGCTCCATAATTTGCAGGACCCAGTGCAAAATGAGAATGCGCTTGTCTAAAAATTAAGAATTTCAAGGCAGTGACAAAGCATTAAACCAATTACACGGCCTTTTGCAACTACAGAGCTCACCTGCCCATGAAGTCAGTCCTGGTTTTAGGAGCAGCACATGGTTTCAGAAAAATCAGCAAGACCTAGGTCTTCCACATCCCATGTGTGATCATTGTCAAATCACTCAACCTGAGTAGTAGGTTATACTTGTCTGTAAATTGAAGACAGTCTATTTACCCCATGACTGCTAGCTAAGACATCGTACAGTGCAGTGGTTAAGAGCTCGAACTCAGAGACACACTGCCCAGGTTCAAGATCAATCTTACTAACCACGTCACTATTATCTCATTACAGAGGGAACTGAGGCAGAGAGAGGTTTTATCTGTTCATAAGGTTACATAAATTAACAGCCGGGAGAAGCTTAGAACAGTGCCAGGCACGCAGAATGCTCGTGGCCAGGAATGGCATAGAGAGTAACTCCTACCACACCAGAAAACTGTAAGAAAGCTTTGCTCTGACGGTGGAAAACGACAAACTCTTCTCCTATCCCTTGGTCAGCTTGCTCTATTGCCAAAAAAACTCTTATTTTTCATTTCTCCGTCTTAAGACAAAGGAAGAGAAGGAGGGTGGGGAGGGCTCCACAGAAACCACAGCTGGAAGCCACAGGTCCCAAATAAAGGACTCAAGGAGCCCCATTCTTAGCTTGCTCCCTGTCAGCAATACAACCTCTAAGAAACGCAAACCCCGTTCCTACCGGGTCCAGCAGAGCAGATCTCACATCCTCGCCATAGCGGTTCCGCAGGCACGGCCCACAGAACTGTCCCCTCACTCCGCCACAGCCCTGGTTCCGACACACAGTCTTGGTGTCAGTGGTCTTCTGCCGACACTGATGGCAAGTGTTGCCCTGGAAGGAGGAGAGTAGATGAGCAGGGGGATGTATATGGTGATGCCCAGGGGGCCAGAGGCTGTCAGTTACACTAGCAAGGGCCTGTAGCAGCACTGCCTTCCTTCTAGAATCAAGCATATTGCTTCTCTAGTACAAACCATGGCACCCTCCAATAGAACTGCAGTTCTAGTACCACAGAAGCGTTAAGGCAGCTGAGGCTGAGCAGGGAGGCTGCAAGGAATCAAATGATCAGGGTGGACAGGAAGAGACGAAAGAAGACTTTGAGGTGGAGTGGCAGAGCCCACAGGAGGCAGGCGTGGCCCCGAGCAGTGGTGAGCTCCAGCATGGTACTGAAGATCTGAATTATTTTCTAGCATAAAATCTGTTTTTAAAATGTTGGAAATTAAATTAAAATCATTTTAATACTACCTTAAAACAGTGTCCAATTACTCATCAGACAAGCAACATAGAAGAACACAAAGTCTCCCACTAAATCATCATTTAAAAGAAATTTCAACCCATTCCCAGCCAACCAAAGATCCTCTGTCAAGCTTTATTTTCTATGGTTATAAGAGCAAAAATAAGCCACAATATATTTTTCTAGTATTAAAAACTATATATATATTTTTTCCTTGATGTGAACAAATATAATATCATATATTTTATTTACTTCTCATATTCTTCAAATCGCTTGAAA